TAATCTAGTTAATTTCATATATTTTTTTATAACCGATAACACTAATATATTAGACGCTCTTTTTCAAGATATACCAACCTATGATTAATACGACCTGATCTTATTTTTAATCCGAAATCATATGCCATAGATTTTATTCCTAATACATATTGTTCATGTGTTGATTTTACCGCGTTCTAAACTTACTATGAGTATTCCTATACCACAACAAGTAACTAACTATTCAATTTATGGCCAAACAATTAAATAATACGATGAGAATGCAAAATCAATCAAAAAATACCTAAATTAAAGTCTTAAATAGAAATAAACAAAAATAACATTCCTCAATTAATGCAAGTTTAGACTTGGTAACATGGGGACCCCATTCAAATTTAATGGGCCGAGAATTATTCTTGATTCTAAGTGCGTACGAGTATTTCAAGTTGATCAAGTATTCTAATGTCACAAAGTATACTACTTATATTAATAGTCTTGAAAAGTAAATGTTATAATTAAGCCACGATCAAGAGCGTCTTCACACCACAATTAGCAATATCCTTACCCAAAAAAATATACAGCAAATCCGTCCAACGGTAGCTATGATGCACTATATCGTCACTCCAAGATAACACAGTGTCCAATAGATTAAAAGATTATTCTTAATGATGATAAACTAAATGTTACGTTGAAACTTGTAAGTGTACGAGATCGTTGTACAATTAATATAAATAGTGAGTTTCGAGTTCATAGTTCACATGAGAAATAAGGTTTAAAATGTAGTTCAATAGTTAGTATTAAATTCGAGCAAGTAGTGATAACAAAATAGTGATTTTGTGATTGTTTATACTTCTAATATCTACTAATAAAGCAAGTAAATTGTGATTTTAGTAAATGTTAATGCTTGTATTGGATTCATGAATATCTCCATTTCCATTATTTCAATAATCAATTAATAATCTAGTTAATTTCATATATTTTTTATAACCGATAACGCTAATATATTAGATGTTCTTTTTCAAGATACACCAACCTATGATTAATACGACCCGATCTTATTTCTAATCCGAATTCATATGAAGATGATGCATTTAGTTTATATTATATACATGATTCGTATGCCATAGATCTTATTCCTAATACATATTGTTCATGTGTTGATTTTACCGCGTTCTAAACTTAGTGTGAGTATTCCTATACCACAAGGTCCACAACAAGTAATTAACTATTCAATTTATGGCCAAACAATTAAATAATGCGATGAGAATGCAAAATGAATCAAAAAATACCTAAATTAAATTCTTAAATAAAAATAAACAAAAATAACATTCCTCAATTAATGCAAGTTTAGACTTGGTAACATGGGGACCCCATTCAAATTTAATGGGCCGAGAATTATTCTTGATTCTAAGTGCGTACGAGTATTTCAAGTTGATCAAGTATTCTAATGTCACAAAGTATACTACTTATATTAATAGTCTTGAAAAGTAAATGTTATAATTAAGCCACGATCAAGAGCGTCTTCACACCACAATTAGCAATATCCTTACCCAAAAAAATATACAGCAAATCCGTCCAACGGTAGCTATGATGCACTATATCGTCACTCCAAGATAACACAGTGTCCAATAGATTAAAAGATTATTCTTAATGACGATAAACTAAATGTTACGTTGAAACTTGTAAGTGTACGAGATCGTTGTACAATTAATATAAATAGTGAGTTTCGAGTTCATAGTTCACATGAGAAATAAGGTTTAAAATGTAGTTCAATAGTTAGTATTAAATTCGAGCAAGTAGTGATAACAAAATAGTGATTTTGTGATTGTTTATACTTCTAATATCTACTAATAAAGCAAGTAAATTGTGATTTTAGTAAATGTTAATGCTTGTATTGGATTCATGAATATCTCCATTTCCATTATTTCAATAATCAATTAATAATCTAGTTAATTTCATATATTTTTTATAACCGATAACGCTAATATATTAGATGTTCTTTTTCAAGATACACCAACCTATGATTAATACGACCCGATCTTATTTCTAATCCGAATTCATATGAAGATGATGCATTTAGTTTATATTATATACATGATTCGTATGCCATAGATCTTATTCCTAATACATATTGTTCATGTGTTGATTTTACCGCGTTCTAAACTTAGCGTGAGTATTCCTACACCACAACAAGTAACTGACTATTCAATTTATGGCCAAACAATTAAATAATACGATGATAATGCAAAATCAATCAAAAAATACCTAAATTAAAGTCTTAAATAGAAATAAACAAAAATAACATTCCTCAATTAATGCAAGTTTAGACTTGGTAACATGGGGACCCCATTCAAATTTAATGGACCGAGAATTATTCTTGATTCTAAGTGCGTACGAGTATTGCAAGTTGATCAAGTATTCTAATGTCACAAAGTATACTACTTATATTAATAGTCTTGAAAAGTAAATGTTATAATTAAGCCACGATCAAGAGCGTCTTCACACCACAATTAGCAATATACTTACCCAAAAAAATATACAGCAAATCCGTCCAACGGTAGCTATGATGCACTATATCGTCACTCCAAGATAACACAGTGTCCAATAGATTAAAAGATTATTCTTAATGATGATAAACTAAATGTTACGTTGAAACTCGTAAGTGTACGAGATCGTTGTACAATTAATATAAATAGTGAGTTTCGAGTTCATAGTTCACATGAGAAATAAGGTTTAAAATGTAGTTCAATAGTTAGTATTAAATTCGAGCAAGTAGTGATAACAAAATAGTGATTTTGTGATTGTTTATACTTCTAATATCTACTAATAAAGCAAGTAAATTGTGATTTTAGTAAATGTTAATGCTTGTATTGGATTCATGAATATCTCCATTTCCATTATTTCAATAATCAATTAATAATCTAGTTAATTTCATATATTTTTTATAACCGATAACGCTAATATATTAGATGTTCTTTTTCAAGATACACCAACCTATGATTAATACGACCCGATCTTATTTCTAATCCGAATTCATATGAAGATGATGCATTTAGTTTATATTATATACATGATTCGTATGTCATAGATCTTATTCCTAATACCTATTGTTCATGTGTTGATTTTACCGCGTTCTAAACTTAGTGTGAGTATTCCTACACCACAACAAGTAACTAACTATTCAATTTATGGCCAAACAAATAAATAATGCGATGAGAATGCAAAATCATTCAAAAAATACCTAAATTAAAGTCTTAAATAATCCAATACAATAGAAAAACTCAGCCAATTATCCTAAATATTGAATTATACAAGAAGAACATGGAATAACATCACCCGGATCAAGAAAAGATGGACGAAAGTGGAGAAATCCATTTTCTTGAATGAATCTTGAAAAGGAAGGAGAAATCTTCAAAAATCTTGTGAAAATCCGACTTTGATTGATGTATTGTTCTTGTTCTTCGCCTCCAACATATGTAAAAAATATGAATTTTAGGTCTAGGAGGGCCCTCCCACATTTTGGTCGAGTTTTGATATGTAAAGGATGACAAATAAATTGCATTGAATTGTTACCTAAACAAAAATAAGAAAAATCAATTTTTTTTCCGTTTTATACCAAAGTGCACGCCTAGGCTTGTTTGGGGCGCCTCATGAGGTCCCAGAAGAGGAGGAGGTGAGCTCCTAAGCTTGTTTTGAATAGTTTTCAGTATTTTTAACATAATTTTCTCCCCTGATATTCGATTGAGGCGATTCAAAATGCGTTAAAACACTAAATCAAAGTGCTACAATTCTTGTTTAGATATCATTTTCCAATTTGAGCGTTCGCTATGCCAAAAATGAGTTTCAATCCAAAGCAGAAAATTCGGAGTATAACTCTTTCTGCTGGAAATTGATATTCGATAATGCTTTAGTCTCCAAGTTTTGGATTTCCTTCATTTTAGCACTTTTTCCATTATTTTTTCCAATTCTTCGCCCAAACATGAAGTTTTTCTAATAAAGGCAATAAATAACAAATTAGACACTAATATGTTCAAGGAATAATATGATATCATCATTTAGGATCCCGAAGATACGTAGAAACTACACTTAACGCTAAACAATCACGTATTTTTGAATAAAATGAACATTAATTAAATGAAAGTGGAAATTTAATTATTTTTCACCTTTGCCTTAAAAAAAGAAGGGTAAAATGTAAATTCCTCCAAGAGTTCCAACTTTTGGTACGTGACATTTTATATTCCAATCTTTTAAAACGGTGACACTCATGTCTCAACAGTAAACATTAATTTTAAGTGATCACATGAAATCACCCTTTGAATTGTTTTGAAATTTTCTAAAAAATTGTTTTGGATAGTTTACTCTTTCTGTTAGGGAATTCAAATATAATCTTACTGCATGTATATGAAGCTTGACATTATTGTACGATAATAACTTTTTATACATTAATTTCAACAATACTTTAAGTAATCAATGACATAAATTTTGGTACATTTTCGAGCGTCAGTATACAACAAGTTTAATTCATTCAAATAAATATTTTTCGTTACTCGAGGATATGAGTATCACGGTTTTAACATGACTACCACATTTAAGAAAGGTCGAAAAGTCTATACTAAAAAGAAAAACATTTAAAAGGATTTCTCCTTGAAAAAGTCTCACCCCAGAAAAGAGAAAATTGGCATGGCAAAGCACTTGAAAAGTGCAAGTTTTATTTTTGTGCATTCACAGGAATCAAGTTCATGGTCCCTCCACCGCAGTTGACCGCCGGCCCTCAACAGCTACCTTGTTCAACCCACCCAACCCCACCAGCTAAAGCACTTTTTCCTAGGCAAACGCGTGTTTGTCCTCCTGCACATTTGGACTCGATCGTGTGCTGTTAAATTACTATAAATAATCAAACGTGGAATGCAGTTTACTCCTCACCAACCCTTTAAAACATATCATTCTTTCTCTCTCATTTAGGGTTGAAAAAACAGCACGCTGTTGTTTGGTTTTTGCTATAATTATAATTTTGAAGGAAAATGGGAGGTTTTGGGTTGAATGGATCTGATGAAGAAGGCATAGCTACAAGGCTATGGAATAAGTTCAAGAATGAAAGGGTTTCTGTTCTTTACAGTCCTTTTATAATTTGCTTAGCCTCTGGTACATTGGATTCTCACGCTTTTCTTCATTGCATCTCTCAAGATGTCTATTTTCTTCGAACTTTTGCTCAAGCGTAAGCCCTCTCTCTCTCTCTCTCTCTCCCTCCCATATACATACAATATGTGCATATTCTTGCCTGATTTTCTTTCTCGGTCAAATCAGTAATTTTTTAGAATGAAGTTTCATTATGAAAGTATAATTAGAAGAAATGATGAAATATTTAAGTAAAGAAAGTTAAACTAATTAGTTAATAACAAATTTAAAAAAGTTATCTTGACATTCAATATCAATACGACAATCTTTCTGGAATGGAGATCAAAGAAAATATTAATTCTTTTAGGTATGGAGGGTGTATTTTTTTTTTCTCATGATCAAAGTTATAATCAGATATTCAGTAGGCTGAGGCATAATGTTTTATCAGGTATGAACTAGCAGAGGAATATGCAGATGATGATGAAGACAAGGAAGCCATTACAAAGTTAAGAAAACGCGTCTTGAAGAGGCTTAGAAACCTAGATACTCTTATCCATGTAATCATTTTACTATCAGTTTTTTTCAGTTTATCTATTTTTGGTTGTTTTTCAGAAATATGTTTTGCTCTAGACTTGTGATAAGTAAAAATAGCAAACATTTGTGTTACTGTTTTATCATCTTAATTTCTCGTGTGGGACTTAGCTTCAATGCTTATGTTTTTCTATTTGGAGAGAGAAATTTTGGGTATGTTCCATTGCATTTCTTCCCCAAGGAGTAGTTTCTTGGATCTGTCTTATGATCTCATTGGCATGATAGCCATAATTTGCAACTGATCCCAAAATGATTAATGAAATTAACAATTGGGTAGAAGAAAAGGGAAAGGGAATAGATAAAGTTTTCGCATCGGTTTTACATTTTATTTCTCATAACAGGATAGCTTTATAATTCATTGTGTACATGTTCAGAAATTAGATTTAATTGAATGTTTGATGCTGCAGGAATGGGGCTTTGAGCCCCCAAAAGAGAGCGTGTGCCAAACTGCAACAGTCAAATACACAGAATTCTTGCTGGAAACAGCAGCAGGGAAAGTGGGAGGAGAGAAATTCCCCGGTAAAATAGTTACTCCTTTTGAGAAAACAAAACTCGCTGCATATACACTGAGCGCCATTGCACCCTGCATGAGACTCTATAACTTTGTAAGTAAGGAGATACTGGCTCTTATAGAGCCTGAGGAAAGTGAACACATTTACAAGAAGTGGCTTAACAGTCTCTCCTCAGAAAATTTTGAGGTTCGTCCAATGTTATGAGTGATGATCATTTTTTATATGGTAATAGTATTGGGGAGTTTTTGGGATGAACCCAAGCACATCTCTTCTTGAGGGTAACATTATTTTTCGGAAACTTGATTGACTAGTTATTTTGCCTGCTCAAAATTTAGGCATCAGCTGGAAGGATCGAAGTCATGCTAGATAAATTAAGCATTTCTTTGACCGGTGAAGAGCTAGAAGTTGTAGAAAGGCTCTATCATAAAGCTATGAAACTCGAGTTAGAATTCATATTGACTCAATCGGTTGTTAACCGCACCATAGCCCCCGTTTCTCAACTCTACAACAGTGCTGAAGAGAATCTCATTATATTTTGCGACTTTGACTTGACGTGCACTGCCATAGATTCCTCTGCACTTCTAGCAGAGATTACAATTGTAGCAGCAAGTAAGGCTGATCTTAGTGACGGTGAAACACAACCTTCTAAGACGTCATCTTCTGATATCCGAATGATGTGGAGTAATCTTTTCAGCCAGTACATAGAAGAGTATGAACAATGCATAGAAAGCATCATGTCCAATGAAGCAGGTATCAATAAATTTCTCCAAGATTTGATAATTGTGAAGCAAGATCAGCGTATATTAGGGCTGTTTGGCAGGGCTTTTCTGCTTCTTCTTCTAAAAGCTTTTCTAACCACGCCAATTACTTTCAGAGAATTATCCAAACAGGTCCAAAAGTGGCTTCTTAGTCTTAGAAGTAGCTTTTGGCTTTTTAAAAGCCCTGCCAAATGGGTCTTAGTTGATATAAATCCTGACTTTTCCTGATAATATAATGGCAGTCGAGGGACTTGATTATGAAGGTCTATGCAAAGCACTGGAGCAAATATCCAACTTTGAGAAGAGGGCAAATTCAAGAGTGATTGATTCTAATTTACTGAGAGGATTGAGTCTAACAGACATAATAAGGGCTGGGGAGCACCTCACTTTTCAAGATGGTTGTAAACAGTTCTTCAAGGATCTTATGAAAAGTGAAACTTGCGCGACAGATTTTCACGTGTTATCATACTGTTGGTGTGATGATCTCATTAAGTCCGCATTTTCATCAGGTATGCTCGTGTAAGCAATTCTTTTTGCAATTTTTTTCCTGGTTAAATAAAGTTAAACCATTTTTATGTAAGCAATTCATTGATAGATCTGCATCTTTGTAAACAATTGGTTGCTATCTTTTTGTAAAATGTAATTACTGCTTTATTTTTTGATATATGCATTCTAATTTCCTTCTCCATTAAGCAGGGGACCTGTGTGTACCGAATGTACATTCAAACTGCTTAGTCTATGAAGAATCTATTTCCACTGGCAATATTATACAGAAGATGGAGTCTCCCATGGACAAGCTTCGAGTCTTTAATGACATCACCAAGGGCAGCACAAATGATAGCAAGCCTTTGACGGTTTACATCGGAGGTTCATTTGGCGATTTGCTTTCCTTGCTTGAAGCAGATTTTGGCATCGTGTTTGGCTTGAGTGACAGTCTTATGAAACTGGGGAGTCGATTTGGTATTTCTTTTGTTCCCTTGTTCTCCGGCTTAGTCAATAAACAAAGAGAACTCGACGTAAGTGGTTGCTTAAACCGGAAAGGGTCCTCTGGGGTTCTTTATACTGTCTCCAGCTGGGACGAGATTAACACATTCATCTTGGGGGCCAAACAAGTGCCTCCATCTTAAAGAAAATACATGATTATACAAAAAGTGACTTCTTTAGAGTAGACAAAACATAGAGGTAGGTTATATCCATGCAATAATCACATGTTGAGGAATTATAAAAGTTAACTCATTCATTCAATGTACAGTCCTATCCAGTATTACAAACTAAACATGTGATAGGTGGCTAGTTTTTCCAATGCCCACTGGTTAGCCCATATCTTTATTTGCTGTTGAGGACTACCCGCCCGTGATGGAGAATTATATGAGCATGATTAGGTACCCTATTATGCATAAGGTTGCTGAAGTGAAACCAGTTTCTTAAATTCACTATGATGGATTGGATAACACGGGATACTACCAAAGAAGAAAAACAAATTAAGATCTTGTTGATTATATTGTTCAGTCCCTAGACATACACTTACGGATTTGACAGCATGGTATTCTAGACATGCTTGTGAAACAAGACGTATCTAACATTTTTGTCTCTATTATTTTTTAATCTTGGGTGAAAAGTCTTATCAAGGTAACCTTCTTGGGGAAATTTCCCTTTGCTGATTGTATGGAAGTTTGCCATTCACTATGAAAATATGAAGTGCACTTGCTTAAATTTCTGACTTGTTGCTTTATCAATCAAGATAGTGTTTTGCTTTCTTATATACATATAACATGTTTAGTTGTGCTTAAAAGTGACTTTTTTAACTACTTTTCTAGGCAACATGCAGGACTTTGTTGCAAATTTTGCAAAATAAAAGGGCGTTGAGAGATGGAAATGAGTTTAAATATAGAATTTGTAACTTGTCCAAGAAAATGGAGGTTTGGTAAATTACCTAAAAAATAATTATGTAGTTTCAGACATGACTTGTAAGAAGCATAAGAAGCCAATAATCAAGAATGTTAACTTCAGTTATCATAATTGAGGTAAGATGGTACGAATTTGAGCCGATTAATTGTGAAACGTTAATAAGATCGAAAAACGAAGTTTCGTTATGACTTCGCAATAATTTAATAAATCAAGCTACATGTACCGAATTTTTTTACAAAATCGTTTACATACTACTCACAATGGGAGTGGGGATCACATTGTGGGAATTTTTAAATACACGCGGGCCTCACGTATTATGTGAGAGGGGGTAATTCATTATGTAAAAACCATTATGTACAAATAGATTAACCCTAATTTAATTAGCATTTGAATCAGCCGTTCATAACGGTTGGCGACAGGTTCATCGTAGTCATCAAATGACAAACAGTTATCACTATGTAAGTTTAGGAGCTAAGATTGTCTACATGAATCTCGGATTTCTCGAAACAAAGTGATGTTGATGTTTGAAATCAATAGGGATCTTTGGCTCTTTGCTTGACTGAGCAAACTCAGTAACATGTGATATTGTTACTTCCCGAGATAGCTTCCAGTCAAAAGATGAGGCAGGTTTGGGTTAGCTTATATTTGGGTTGCCTGTAAGTTTACTCATAAGTAGAGCTGATTTAAACATTAGACTAGTCGTCTAAGGTAGAATTTATCAAGGACAGAAGTTATGTTCACTGATCCTATGTGATTGAAGTGATGTTTCCATAATTTATGCTATCTTGAAACACAATTGCTCGTAATCTTGAGAACTAGAAGGGGCAAAAGTCTTAATATTTATAGGGTAAAATGAGGTTGATTTGTGCACCCATCATCCTGTAGGTAATCCCTTTTTTTTGGATGGCATTTGTTTTATTCACCATCCTCAGTCGTTACGATGTTTAAAATGCAATCTTGGCAAGACCTTGCCTTGAGTCGAACCAGCCTGCACTTGCACATCGGGATAAAATTTATAGGTCCGTGATACGACTAATTATCGCCCCCTCGAGTACATAGATAGATGGGTTATGGATGGCTACATCCCTATTACTATAATCAAATTTCGGTTCCGATATCCTTAAATATCTTTGTGCTGCAAATTTGAGTCCCTTCAACATCGCAATGCATTCCCCAATGTAAGGAGACACCTGACCTCAAATCTATTTCGCTCTATGTATGTAACTGAAGATTGTGCGAATTGTAAAGATTATATGTGGTGTTGTAGGTTGAGTGTAGGGTGACAATTAACATGTTGTGTGACTAACTATTTGTGTTAAAAATAGTTATCAACAATCATCGCCTGAATTTCTTTTTCAACGCAACCATTGGCTTAGTTTCTTGAGTAAAATAGAACCCATGTCGGTTGTTGTTGTTGCTGCATACTCTACGTACTTGGTTTAGAGTTTTCTCGAATCGAACTATGCCAATTAGTTAAACTAATACCACCTCCACCTCAACACACACGCAGGCTCTTTGGCACAATTGCAGGATGCTGCTTGTTGAGTGAAACATAAGCTCTCTATTCATAATATTGGTCTTTCGTAACTCACAAGAGACTCAATCTTTAAACTGATCCATACCACCTTTTTGCAAACCACAAAAACCCAAAATTAATCAAAATCAGTATTTTCCAAAATTCACTTTTGTGGGCCCACAAGAAAACCTGGTCCCACTGCCCATACATGTGCCACATGTGCAATCACCACCACTATGATTCCCTCTTCATCTTAATCATGCAATTCATTGCTGGCCCTTGTATGTCCCATGTGAAGGCCTGTAATTTTCCACCCCATGAAACTCCCACATGTCTCAACTTACATTTAACAAATATGGATACGTATACATACACATACATGCCAACACACACTACACACATTAGTAAAGAATAAGTTCACTCTGACTTCTCTCTCTAATAATAGGAGGGAGGGAGAGAGAGAGAGAGTATACTACTAAGGAAGGTGAGATTTCACATGGGATCCATCCACTTTACTAGCACATACTACATAGTGATACAGCACTACGGTTTTAAATTAAAATCTCCTCACATGTTTGCATGTGAATTTGGACTATTTATTGTGTTAAATAATTTTTTTTGGCTAAGTGTGTCTTGAGACTATGAATGATTGCATTTTTTTTTTCTCCATGTTATGCTCTCTCCCTAAGTCTTTGTATTTAATTAACAAGTCATGATATGTTTTTTCATACTAGAGTGAATAGAATTGAATACGATGTGTAATAAATTTTATTACATATTTATTTTCTTGAATTTTATCTTGTTGTATTTGATATAACATACTTGATAAAATTGAGTTGCATTCGCTAATATTTTTACTTTCTTAAACTAGTACCCTCGACTCTCCATTATGCAAGGAGGGAGATAATTGAAATCTCCTCGATAAAAACATGGGACCTTATATTGTGTTGGATAAATAAGGCTTTTCAAATTTAAAACTTTTATGAAAAATACTACAAATTCGATTTTTTTATCATACCCAAACGGGTGAAATTAACAAACAAATTGAAATATCAGTCCAAAAAAAAAAAAAGAAGAAGAAGGGGAAAAAAACAAAAAGATAAAACTTGGTATAGATTAGAAGGGCATAGCCCTTCTTAACATGGAAAGATTCCCTTAATAGCAATCTTCATGTCCTCCTTTTAAACTATGCTTTAGCCTTTAGGGGGTGGGGTGGGGTGCCATGTTGTAGGGTCAACCTTAACAATGGAGTAGCCTTAACTCATATGAATGTTTGTCATTCTTGGAAGTTGGAAGCTACCTTTCATTAGAAGAAATCCAAATCTTGATATTCTTGATCTTCCATGCTTTTGTACAGTGCATAAAGGAACTTTTTAACCCAAATACGTGTTTTAACTCTTAACAAGTACTGACTTAGATCTATGCCTTCTGAGTTCATTTTGCTTTAAGAAAAACCAAAAAATTCATTGTTAATGACACTTAAAATTGTGGGTTTTTATTGACTTTTGACGTGACAAGGTACTTGTGAAATAGAGTGATCAAAACCCGTGATTTTGTGAACATGTATAATATGCACTAAATGGCTGAATTATTATGATATGTTTAGTCTCCGTTTAGCTAAAAGTCGTATTTTTAGTAGTTTTTGATTAAATGTGTGATTGAAAAAGACTTTAAAGAAAAAAGAGTTAGAAAACGAGTGCCAAATAGATTCTTAACTATGGAGTAACTTCAAATATGACCTTATCATAGTGAAATTGGTAGTTCCATGATCTATTTATGAGTAATGTAGTTAGTGGGAACAAACCGCGTAAGAAGTAAGAATTTATCTACTTACTGTACAGATGGCAACGAGACAGGTTGGGATAGGGCAAGACACGACCAGGTAGCCATTCTCTTCCCCTGTAAGGATTTTCGGGTAGCGGTAGGGATTAAAATATTTTCATTTACCATCTCATTTAGTTATTTGTGGCGGACGGGCGACATAGGATATTTAATCATCTCTAATTTTACCGAATTAAGTTGACTGTTAATAACAGAACAAGAAGATAAAAATTGTTCTAAGAACACATTCTCTCAATAATTCATGTCGGAGTCAATTTCCAGCTATTCCAGAACCCAAGATCTCACGAGTTCTTTATAAAAAAAAGAACTAATAATTTCCATATGATTATATCATATTATATATATATATCAACACTAACTGATCATGTAATCTTCTCTCCTTTAAGATTTTTCATATAAAACTAGTCGGTTTCTGTTGCACTCTCCACCTCTACCAAGCCGGACCGATCACCAATTTCGTTAAAGAATGGTGGAAAACTGAAGAGTTTCTGAATTCTGAGAGAAGAAAAATGGAGTTGAAAACCAAGTTGTTGTTTTTTTCCTTTTATGTTTATATGTGTTGTTATTGTTTTGTTAATTCTGAGGTGGTCGATGAAGTGTCGGTTTTATTGACGATAAAATCGAGTCTTGTCGATCCATTGGATCAGCTCAAGGATTGGAAATTGCCTGATAAGGTGATGAAGAACAGTTCTGTTCACTGCAATTGGACTGGAGTTGAATGCAACTCCAATGGTGCATTGGAGAAGCTTGATCTTTCCCACATGAATCTCACTGGGATTTTATCGAACGACATCCAGCGGTTACAAAGCCTGAGCTATTTAAACGTGTGCTGCAATGGATTTTCTTCGCCATTGCCGAAATCTTGGTCCAATCTTAATGCAATCAAGATCATTGATCTGAGCCAAAACTTCTTCATCGACAGGTTCCCTGCTGGTCTTGGAATGGCATCTACATTGATAGCATTGAATGCCTCGGGGAATAACTTCTCGGGTTATCTTCCTGAGGATCTTGGAAATGCTACATTGCTCGAGAGCTTGGATTTGCGAGGGAATTTCTTTGAGGGTTCTATTCCAAAGTCGTACAAGAATCTTGGGAAGTTGAAGTATCTAGGCCTATCAGGGAACAATCTTACTGGCCAGATACCGGGAGAGCTAGGCGAGCTTTCATCCCTCGAGACAATGGTTCTTGGATACAATGAATTTGAAGGTCGGATTCCTGCGGAGTTTGGAAATCTTACCAATCTCAGTTACCTTGACCTGGCCATAGGCAATCTTGGTGGCTCGATTCCAGCCGAATTGGGAAAATTGAAGTTCCTCAATACGGTTTTCTTGTACAAGAACAATTTGGTGGGAAGAATTCCACCAGAAATTGGTAACATAACTTCGTTACAGTTTCTCGACTTATCTGATAACATGTTAGAAGGAGAAATTCCGGCCGAAATAGCAAATCTTAAGTATTTGCAGCTTCTGAATCTGATGTGCAACCAGTTATCGGGTTCTGTTCCTGCTGCAATTGGGGAGTCAACTCGACTGGCGGTGCTGGAACTATGGAACAATTCTTTGTCAGGTCCTTTGCCAAGTGACCTTGGCCGCAATTCACCACTTCAGTGGATGGATATTTCGTCTAACGCCTTTTCTGGTCCAATCCCGGCCAGTTTATGCGCTAAAGGTAACCTCACTAAGCTCATTTTATTCAACAATGCTTTCTCCGGTCCAATTCCATCTGGTTTATCAACTTGTACGTCCCTAGTTCGCGTAAGAATGCAAAATAATCTTCTTTCTGGCACAATCCCGGTAAACTTTGGAAAACTTGAGAAACTTCTAAGGCTGGAACTGGCGAATAATAGTCTCACCGGTCAAATACCAAATGATCTTTCGGCTTCTACTTCTCTTTCTTTTATTGATTTGTCCAAAAATCTCCTTCAGTCTTCGCTTCCTTCCTCCATTCTTTCGATCCCGAATTTGCAAAACTTCTTGGCATCGGGTAATAACTTGGTAGGAGAAATACCAGATCAGTTCCAAGACTGTCCTTCACTTTCTGTGCTAGATCTCTCTTCAAACCACTTCACTGGAAGCATTCCAGCTAGTATTGCTTCATGTGAGAAATTAGTGACTCTGAATCTTCGGAACAACCAGTTACGTGGGACGATCCCTAAAGCAATAGCCATGATGCCCACATTGGCCGTTTTGGATCTATCTAATAACTCTCTGACTGGAGGGATACCTGAAAATTTTGGGAATTCACCGGCCTTAGAAATGCTCAACGTGTCTTATAACAAGCTAGAGGGGTCTGTCCCTGAAAATGGCATGCTCAGAACTATAAATCCAGATGATCTCGTTGGAAATGCTGGTCTTTGTGGGGGCGTGCTTCCTCCGTGCTCTTACAATGAGGCATACACTTCAAAACAGAGGGGCCTCCACGTGGAACACATCATTGCAGGATGGGTAATTGGAATTTTGACGCTTCTAGCACTTGTTGTAGCAGCTTTTGGAGCTCGAACTTTGTACCGTAGATTTTACGATGGGAACTGCTTCGAGGAAAAAATTGAAATGGGAAGTGGAGAGTGGCCTTGGAGATTGATGGCATTCCAGAGGCTCGGTTTCAATATCAAGGATATCCTAGCTTGCGTTAAGGAATTGAATGTGATTGGAATGGGGGCAACTGGGACAGTTTACAAGGCTGAGATTCAACGATTAAGTACGACTGTTGCAGTCAAGAAACTGTGGAGATCAGCAACTGATATCGAAATGGGAGGCAATGAAGATCTTGTGGGCGAAGTTAACCTCTTAGCAAAATTAAGACATAGGAACATTGTAAGACTATTAGGATTTCTTCAGAATGATTCTGATGCAATGATAATCTACGAGTACATGCAAAACGGCAGCCTTGGAGAAGCTTTACATGGAAAACAAACCGGAAGGTTGCTGGTGGACTGGGTTTCACGCTATAATATAGCGCTTGGAGTTGCACAGGGACTTGCATACCTCCACCATGACTGTTTTCCACCAGTGATCCACCGGGATGTCAAGTCAAACAACATATTGCTCGATGCCAATCTTGAGGCAAGAGTTGCCGATTTTGGGCTGGCAAAAATGATGCTTAAGAAGAACGAGACAGTCTCAGTGGTAGCTGGATCATACGGATACATAGCCCCAGGTGAGCTACTAACGATTTCCTCTGTTTTTCCATTAGCTAACTTCAAATTTTACTGATAGATAGGCTGATTGAAACATCCCCTGAATGGCCATAATTTGGAGTATACATATTTAGGGCCAAAGGCCATGATAACTCTGACAGGAGTACAACTAACCATCATTTATCTTGATAATTGCTTGACAGAATATGGATACTCGTTGAAAGTTGATGAGAAAAGCGATATTTACAGCTACGGAGTAGTGCTAATGGAACTTGTAACTGGAAGAAGGCCCTTGGACCCTGAATTCGGAGAATCTGTTGATATTGTAGGATGGATGTGCAGAAAAATGCACGACAAATCTTTAGAAGCAGCTCTAGATCCAACTGTAGGAAACACTAAACATGTTCAAGAAGAGATGTTATTAGTCCTGCGAATAGCCATACTTTGTACAGCCAAGCTCCCAAAGGATAGACCTTCCATGCGGGATGTTTTAACAATGCTTGGAGAGGCTAAACCTCGGAGAAAAAGTAGCAGCAACAATGGAGGAAATCTTGCGAACAAAGATATGCCAGTATTTAGCACATCACCAGTGAACGGTCTTCTGTAAGAACAAATTCTGCATTGCTTCTTTAATTTGTACCTAGTTTTTGTCGAGTGAATTTACCAATCTCATGCCTATTTGGAGAGGTATAGGTTCTTCCTTGCAAATAACACTGTAATTTTTGTCATATATGAAAATTTATTGATTTAAGGTGCACTGTTTATTGCATCCAAAAAAAAAAAGTGCAAATTTACTTTTCCTTGTGGCATTTAAGCAAGTTACAAGACATCAAATTACTCTACTCTTGTCAGTATTTTCGTTCATTGAAATTTACTACATATATGATTCTTGACGAAAAAAGAAATTTAACAAACAAAAATAACACAACTGCGCAATTCCAACAGGCTCGTGTACAAAAACCACGCATATATTCTTTCATTAATGAAGATAAGATTAACAGTTTGTGCAGAAAAATCAGAACAAAACCAGCAGAAACTCCCATAGTTACAATGACTTCCAGTGCAGGATGTGTACATATATGACACGAAAAACTAGAACTTGTGTTCTGTATAGCAAAACCATCCCCCAGAGAGTGGCATATATGTTAAGTGTGGAAAAAGTGTATAGCACGATAAAGAAGCGACCAAAATCATACAAGCAAAGACGACCAAAACCGATGGCTGCCCAAAATTCTTCGACCACACAGCATCTCTATTTAGTATTTATCTTCCCGTTCTTCTTCATTCTGCTCATAAGATTTGGAATAGAATTTATATTGGTGCCATCGACTGTGTCTGGTTCCTTTCATTAGACCTTGGGGCTGCAATCAGAAAGAGAATGAAAGAGGCATGAAGAAATTGTTGAACCATTTCAGTTAAAAGCTTAAGAAGTTAATGAAAGGACAAGCTTATTTATTTGGCTTAAAGTCGACTTATAAGCACGATAGAGCAGCAGTAGGCTCTCTCTCATAGTTCACTTATAAGCCACCCAAAACATGCTAGTCTTCAATGCATCCTTTCACATACAAACCAGATTTTTTCTTATAAAAAAGGTGTAACATGTGCACAGTTTTTATAAGCGGATGGTCTCTTTTCTTCTTTCATACCATGTTGAACCACGTCATCTAAAAATTGTGCATGTGAGAAATATGGTGTGTGCATGTGACAGTTGTCATACACAAGTGTCCACATACCAAGTCCATTAGCCTCAGCTGTCCTCATGATTCTAAGCCTCTTCACTGAGCTAAGAAACATCCTGATAAAATCACAGTAGCCACGGTATTGTCAATATAAACACGATTATGTTCATTAGAAACTATAAACAGGATATAAAGGAAAAAGAGAGGAGACGGTAAATTTAATTTTTTGACAAGGACATAAACTGGCCATAGAGACGCAGAATCAGTCACAAATATATAATGTGAAGTCAAAGGGACATACTCCCACGGAACATCTCCAACAAGCATCCAGTCTCCTTCTTTGTCTTCATAGGTGAGCACAAATTCAGACGAAACTTTAAGTAATCCCGAGGGTCTTATCATTACAACTTGCTCCTCTGCATTTGATCCTAATTTTCAACAAAGCATCAGAATCGGTTAAGAAACAATGTAGTTCACAGTTATTATGGATATTTCAAGCACCCGTAAAATGATTGTGGGATTTGCATTAGTTAAGGCAGACAAAACCGATAATCCACACATCAGGTTTAAAGACTCCAATAATTTTTCTCTCTGTTTTTGCCTTCGGTATTCATAATTCAGACGAAGAAAAAATGTGGGGAGGGCAATTAGTGAAGGGGGGAACTGGCACAAATGCTGTGGAGGGCTGGGGATGGATGTGAGGGAGGGAGGGTGGGTGGGTGGAACGGAATCAATAGTAGGTTTAACAAACACACTGTTTCACAAAGCTCTTCACAAATTGAAAGGACGTAAAAATGAAATTATAATGTCATGGATTAAGCCCAAGTCCCAATTATGAAAGCAAATACTAAGCAACACGAAAATCAGAAACACGCAAAGTTAACACACAGATTTCCAGTGATTCACCCCAATAATGAGGAACTTACGTTTAGCACCAACAGCTGCACTGAGTTTAAACATGTCGTCCAGTGTTTGAGATAAAGTTTTGTAGCAGCGATGGGCATTCAGATCCACTTTTCTTCCAATTGGGATCCCATCCATGTTCACCTTCACAAACAAGGACGTTTTTTTGAGAAGCCCTTTTTCCTTTGCAACATTTCTGTTCAAGTTGCTGCCAATATTTGTCTTGTCCACAATAGTATTCTTGCTTTTACATTTATCAACAGCAGAGGTAATTTCTTCAGTCATTGGTGATTTTGCATGGTTTACTAAGCTTTGTATTCTGTAAGTTCTTATAGGAGGCCATCCAACAACCTGGCTGCTTTCGTAAAATTGCACGAGCAAAGAGGAATCTATTAATTTTAAGCAGCTGACTACATTTCTTTAAATAAACACTGATAGTGGTTATAAAATACAAGCTGAGAAAAAACTAACATCGTGAATCAATCGTAGTTTCCATACTCTAGAAACAGATATGAGAAATAATGGAAAGAAGTGTAGTTGCCACATCAATGATCCCGAATTCCAGGGGCAGTTACAAAGATAAAAGGGTTAACAAATCTAATCTGCGGCATCTTAAAGAGCTCTTAAAGTAAAAGTGCCTCTTACTAGTTTGCTTAAATAGACACTTGGGTTGATTTCAATTAATCGCAATTCCACAAATTCTTAGCACATACAGATGAAAATCAACCTCACTTGATTCGATTTCACTTCATGTTTCTTTTCGTACGCACTTAATTCAGTGATATCAGAGACGAAAATATACAAGAACAAGCAACCTAAGCCTTGTCTACATAAATCCTTTTTCACAGATTAGGATTTATATCATAAGATCCAATATAGATTTATATCGATTATCAGCCTACTACTACACTCCTCGTTTATCCGGCTTTGAACCTAATTATGCAAAATATAGGGAAGCTATACATATAAAATTATATATATAAAGAAAATTTCTTTTTTCAGGCATCAGATTCCTTAAGAATCAATAACAAAAACGCTAACCACAACAGACTCTAGTCATGTACAGAAGAACAGCAAATTTAGAGGGAATAACATAAAATCCAAATCAAAAATAGGAATTCCAAAACCTCAAATTAAAGTCTGCACGATAACTATAAAACACACATTCCATTATCGAAAATTGCGAACCAAAACCTTAATACACCCGTAAATCATATAACAATATGATATTATTATTACCTGGAACCGGACCGACCGGGTGGTGAAGAAGGTTCAGCAGTTCTTTTGACCCCACAGAAGGGATTATTATTAGCTTTGGTAACAGAAGATGATGAAGAAGAAGATGATGAAGATTCTTTAGTAGAAACCACAGAATGAAAATCTTTGGCTGTCAAGATTCTAGCATATTGACCCCAAGGACCCCCCGCCGCCACTGCCGGCAGCGGAGGCTTAGACATAGACTTTGCACCACCACCAAGACTCAGGCCAAGGCCTAACTCCAGCTCAGACTCATCAGGGTATGAAGAAGATTCCTCAGACAACATATCCATGTTATTTTTTTCCCTCGATACAGTTGATATACCACTAGAAATCCCACCGCCACCGCCAAGAAGTATATTTTCCATTAAATTTTTGCAGATATATAAGAAAGAAAGAAACTTTTTTGGTTCGGAGAAGAGAAAAGAGGGGTCTTTGGTGGGGTGGGGTGGTGGGTGGAGGGAGTGATGGGGGGATCGGTGGGTCCAAGATGTCTGCTTTGTGCGACACACTCCATCGTAGACTTCTCCTACCTCAGCTCACCAACGAACCACTGTCTGAACAAGGAACTCACGTTTCTCGTATTGATATTTTGCTTCTCAATTTATCGTCTTGATATTTTTAGTCTTCTTTAAAATATGAGCTTGTTTGCACCTCAAAAAACAAAAAAAAGTATTTTTTAATAGTGATTTGATTGAGAATGTATGATTAGAAAATAAGAAAAAATTATGAATTTACGTATAATATTATTTTATTGAAAAATATGTGATTGAAAATAAGAAACGAAAAAATATATTTTAAAAATAACGAGAACCAAACAAAGACAATAATTTAAAATTGGACCTTGCTTTGGTCATTGTTGACTCAAAACATAAAAATTTTCCCTTCTTCTTTTTTCTAATTTGTCATCTTAAGGTTGTGTTTGATGAATATAATTAAGGAAATAATGTATTTTAAATAATAATATAATGAGAAATATATTGTTAAAAAGTAAGAAAAAATTATTGATATGATGAAAAATATCATTTTATTGAAAATATGTGATTGAAAATGAGTTTTGAAAGAATATATGTCGAACAGGAACATACACTTCTTTCTCCAACTTAGTTTACAAACTGTTCAAAATTGGATATAAAGAAGTAAAAAATAGATATTAATAGAAGTATTTTTATACATCAACTTAAAAGTTGGGATACGCGTAAAAACAATCTTGAAATGTTGCATCTTATTATCGAAAATAGGGTTGTTTGCTGCTAAGGATGGAATGATACGAAATGAAGATCTATTTGATAGTTCTTGATAAAGAAAAATTAGAAATCAGAAATCACTTATATAATTTACACCGTTAGACATGTTTGAAAATTATTTATCATCAATTTAAATCGTAAATATATATAAATAAATTCTGAATAAATATGTAATAATTGTGAATTTCACAAGTGGACAAAAATCATTTGACATATGAAAGTCACTCCTCTCTATTAAAAAGTAATTTTAAAATAAAAAACTTCCTCATGAAGCCAAATTGCACTACCAAACGATAAAACGGACAAAGATAAACTTTATGAGGTAACCTTTGCGAGAAATTGAAATTATTGCGACAAATAGAAGTGTTTTAATGATGTCGTGACTTGGAAGACTGAGAATTGAGGTTGGGGTGGGGACAAACGAGACTTTAGGCCATACGACAAGCCGACAAGATGTGGGTCCCAATAGGGTCACACGGCTCAACAACACTAGGAACACGTGGAATGAGATTACTCTAACTATATTAATTGCCTTCCTATTCTGCCCCCAACAAAATGTTTATGACAATTAAGTGCACTATGCGTAACAAATGAGTGCTATTTGCATAAGAAATACCAATTTCGTAGGTTTGGTCTTTGTTTTTTCTTTTTAGGTTTTCATCAACTTCTGGTGTATGTTTGGTATCAAATATTAGATAGTACTCGACGATGTCCATCTAATCGAAATGTATTTTATACGAACGAGTATATTAATCTAATGTTTTTGAGTGCTACGTGTAAAATATTTTATTGTGTAAGTATGTAATTGAAAATGAGTATAAGAATTAAAGAGTTGTGAAATAATGGTGCTAAGATTAATACACGTAAATTTGTACATATATTTTATTTATAAAATTTAATTGTTTCAAAATATAGATAAATATGAAATGGGACCCACAAAAGAATACTCATAATGACAAAAAACACTAATATTTGATTGTGTATATTTTCACGCCAACCCTGTTTCTTTAACTTGACACTGCATTTTGAAAGTTGTGGGATTTGTCTCCGATCTTCTTTTCACCTTTTTCTGAATGTGATGTAAATCACATTTGACTGTTGACAGAATTGTCTGGGCGTCATCACCACCAACACCTCTTATTTTCCTCGAAAACGAGTCATTAAATAGTTCAAAATCACGACTCGAGACCGTGTATTATTGATGGATGTCAACTAGCAGCAAGACCGAACATCAAGCTAATAGTAATTACAATAAGAAGAATGATAGATCGCAATCAGCCTTGGTTTTGGATCAAGCTACTAGCTGGCATTCATTATCGACGCATGTCAACAAATGTGTTGGTTAGTGTTCCCAATCGTCCAAGAAAACAGTGGTGGTGATAAATGTATTCCAATATTCAAGTTACATACTTGTCTTTGAAAAGAATTAACAGAAGAATCGAATATGACGGCCATTAATATTTAGAACCATGCTTGATGTACATGACAAAGGGTGTACATCATAGATAACAGCCCCCTTGCATTGGGGTGGGGCCAGCATTATTCTAATATTTATTGATAGAAACAAAGGTCGAGAGGCATTTATGATAAGGGGAAGGGGGGGGGGGTGGGGTCGTCCCAAACAATTAACGGTACAATATCCTACACTAATTGACTTGGCAGTATAATATCTTGTTTTGTTTGAAAATAATACTACTATTCAACCTTGGGCATTTTGGTTGACTACCCATATCCTATAAGGGCAAGTCTAGTCGAGTCTTGTGCTTGAGAGAATCTCAAATTGCAGTCACCTTAAGAGATCAGAAGACAGACAAGACTACCCTACTACAGCAGACAATTCTAGAGTCGTTCTGTTTGTCTACTGCTGCTTCATAACTCATAAATAGCTGCCTATACTGCCAAAATCAGCTATTCCTCTTGGTTCTTGCTGCTGGTCACTCTATTTGTTTTATTACTGAATCTACTGAAAGAATTAAAACAACAACGAGACATTTCACTTTATTCCCCCTTTTCGACATGTTTATTGATATTCCATCCCTTTTACCAGCGGGTTCTCTTTTAACTCTATCTAAGACATGTCTGAATCATCTAAATCGCCTTTCCTTCAATGTATCCTCAATTAAAACTACGTCTGTTTGGTCTTCCCAACATAAAACTTTCGGTTTATTCCCTCTTTTCGAGTTATATTGAGATTCCGTCCCTTTTACAAACGGGAGTCTCTTTTAATCATATCTAAAACATGTCTGGACCATCTTAGTAGTCTTTCCTCAATGTAATCTCTATCAACACTACGTTTAGGTGGTCTTCCGAACATAAATCATATCCAACATCAAAATTATGAATATTCCTCAATGCGGTTCATCCCTTTTTTATTAAGGGCAAGGGTAGTGCAACCAATGAGTCTAAAATCTAGCAATGCATTGCAGGTACTCACATTGTGTCAGTCTCCCATTTGAGCTCTTGGTAACCACAAGGGCCTATTTCCCCCTTGAAAGGTAAAAGTGGAACCCAATTTTTTACACAAAAATGACAATAGAAGTTCATCTTGAGTCAAAATCTACTATAACTTCAAAAAGAAAGGGAGCTACAAATAACATTTGTTACCTTTGAGAAGTGATTATGGCAGCTGGTTTTAGCGCTAGGCAGCTATGCGAAACTGTAGGCACCGTGTCAATCCTCAAGCAATTGGCTCAATAATCTGTAATCAGTCAAGAGTAAATCCTACTCATCCAAAACTGCAATTTCATTACTATCGTGTAAGAATGAGACTAGCAGAAAATAAGTGATTATCATGGTCAAGGAACAATATCCAAAAAGTAAAGGATTTACAATCTAACCAAGATTCATTTCATTTCATTTCAGTTTCAAAACCTGAATTCTTCGTGCTTTTCTGGCTGAAGGAGCTAACGTGTTCATTACATTAATGATTAATCCATACTTCCATTGCATCTCTGCATGATGGACCAATCTAACCTAACATACTCGAGAAGATATTCATACCCTTCTGTGTTAAAAATACAATTCAAATATGATACTGTAACCTATTATTCTTTTGACAATTTTACACTCATTAGCTTGTTTCCTAATAACTCCTTATCATCAATACAAATATGAAATCTAATCGATTTCAATCCTATCAGTAAAAACAGCTCTATGTATTATTCTGCAACTCATGCCCTTCTTGTCTTCATATCTTCAACATCTTGTCTGGCGAGGAACCAAGGCCATCAGTATCCTGATAGCTTATCTTCGGTTAAACTACACAGAGTTGCAACAAAATCTCCGCCAGTTCTTTTTCAACTTTCTGAACATCATAGCATATCTGCAGAAGAGACCAACATTTGTTAAAAGGAAAAGCATCAAATTGCCTAACATCTTTCATCCCCAACCCAATTGTTCTTCTCCATTGGCCCAGTAGGGCCTTCCTCCCCATACAACTCCATAGGTAACTTGCTAAAAATGTTCTGAATTGAATATCGAAGCATTAAAGGCAGGAAACTGATGATTTTATCCAGTTCGGTTCTTGAATCATAGATAACTTTCGGGCCCCACCCTCTCATAAATTGTAACCAACTTGGTTCATTAACGACTCCATCTCCAAGATATTCAGCTGCAACAATCTCGAATTGTGTGCTTGAATCCACATAAAAGTGACTACGAGCAGCATCATTCCTCACACCAATCTCAAGCTTTGTGGAACCCTGAATATAATTTCCGGGATGCGGATAGCTAGCATGACCACTTTTTGATGAATAAATGACGGCTTTATTTCCCTCAATGAACTCCAAATCAAAAGCTTCTACCCAAACACCGCCACTGTGCTGTGAAAAATATATGCTCCAGAGCTCCCCCGTAAAGTTACTAATACGAAGTGTAAAATGTTCCCAATCACCCACATGTTGACCAATCTTGCTAAGAGAAATGTTCATCAATCCCACTTTCAGAGTTCCTGGCCCATTAAAGGGGCAGAAAACCCACATCACAATATCAGTGTAAGTCCCTCCTGATGCTGGTTTTACATGTATGTACAGTTTGGAGCTTTCAAAATTCCCATGTTTAACCCTCTTCTTCCGACCATCAGTTGGCAAATCTATCCAATATTCCCCATCATTTGTCCCTCCCCTAGGCAGATTGGAACCTTCACTATCAATTGCCACGCCGATTGAATCACCTTTTCTGTACAATAATGCCCCATTTTGGAAGAACCACGAAACAGACGATGGCAAAAAGGCCTCATCAGGATGGAAGAAGACAGTAGGCCCGTAGTGCCTGATTAGTGCACGAATTTGATCAAGATTCGGCATTGCATGTAATGAATTATCTAAGTTCTTCAAGCATGCAATATCCAGCTCTTCTCCTGGGATCCAGTGACCACTGCAAAAGAAACTACCTACTGAGACACCTCTACCACGCATTCCCCGATGAAGAGGTCTTGTACTCCAAACCTTAAATGGTACTTTTAAAAACTTAGAATGGGTGTTGACTATCAGACGATAAGCTTCACATTTATCTGTTAGGTCAGCACGGACACATCTAATTTCCCCTAACTGTGGCTTCTCTGGCCTGTTGGTCACCACAAAGCCCAAAGATTTATAACCCTCAGGTGGTTGGGGTAACCAGAAGCAACCACATGTATCAAAATTTTCATCACCGCCATCATCTGAACACCAAACTAATGTATAATCCACAGGAGTCATGAGAGCGGGCATGGAGTCAGAACTAGAGTAGCAACAATGTCCTGGCTCCGATTTAAACATTTCCCCAGCTACAAGAACAAACCCTCGTAAAGGCTTTTCATTAGATTGGCAGTAGTGACCAAGATTAAAGAATCCGTCCGGTATTCCAATTGGTTTATAGAAACTAATGCCCTGTTTCCCATGCTGAGACATATTAAATCCCCATACAAACTCAAATTTAGTTACTTCACAAACCTCTAATTCTCCTAATCTGATTTTCAAGCTACCAAATCCTGAACCTGCATATTCAAACAATGGTCACCACAAAGTAACAAGTAGAAGTTAAAATTATATAAGCCATTCAAAGAACCATGAACTTGACAACTTTGCAGGTCCTTCAATGCATGAAACATAGGCAAGAACTAAAAAAGATATTTCCAAATTGTAGTTCTCACACTGAGCCCGACCAATGGTATTTCATTTCTAAGGAAAATAGAATCCATGTAAACATGAAAAGCTTGGAAACAAATTTTTAAATAAAGGATAAGAAAGAAAATAGAATGCCTGAACACATAAAAATTTGAATTGAACTTCAAAACAAACAATATGCTCATGAATACAACTAAGAAGAGTAGGATCCTAAATTCCTAATTATGTCAACATTGGGACGCTAGTTAGGAAGACTTTATTCCTTCCAAAGGAGCAACTTCTGAAGAAAGGAACAGCAGCATGAGGAGAAAAGTAGAGAAGAAAAAGATAAAATTAGAACAATCTCCAATAAAAACAGATTACCCTACTGGTAAGTGAAGCACAGCACCAAAAAATGCAAGCACTGATTTATTCTGACCAAATAGATAAATTATGTGAAAAAACAACTATAGGCAAATGTGAAGAAGAAAATTATTGTGAAAATGGATATAAATATATATATATATACCAATTTTTTAATTTTCCAACTTCCACATAAAAGGAATATTTCAACATTATGCATTTACAAAAATACAAACTAAGGAACTGCATATAGCTCTCTATTCCCTATTTCCCTTCCATATTAAACTTAATGATTGCATTATAATTCAATCTAGGCACTACAAAAAAAAAATATGCCTGTACAAGAAATGAATGAAATAGCAACACTAGAAATGCGCAAACAATGATTGCATTATAATTCAATCTTACCACTAAAAAATCGGCTATCTTAGTCTCCTCATAACCACAGAATTGAGTTCAAAGTGGCCTAGAATTGGGAGTTTCTTCTTTATAAACATTGTCATTGTAAAATTGGACAGCACTAACATTATTTTAGCAAGATAATACCCATTTTACGACATGATTAATCTCCGCAAATCACAATATCTCAAACCGAGTGAATCAAATCTATCTATCGGAACAAAATTCAGAAACCCTCAACTGGTCACCAGAATTAAGTAAATAATTTTGTGATTACCCTGAGGCCATTGAGGAATCGGAGCGGGCAGAGAGAAAGTTGCGGGCTCGTTTTGCCAGACATAGGTCACTCTGCTCCAATTAAGGCAGCTGCACTCCAACATTTTAATTCCTACCACCAAAACAATCTCTTAACGCTCCCAATTGATTGCTGTTCAAGATTTTGATCGTACAGTGACAGATTCTCTCCCAATTTTTCTCAATTTCCAAAATGTTTACTCCCAAATTAGAACTGTCCTTACGAGTCCCAAATCGATCCAACACCAAAAGGGTGTCCCAGAATCGCCCAAAAGAGGTGCACTGCAGACACAGTTTCGCTGCCCGAATCTATATATACACTTTCCGTATTCAGGTAACGAATAGAATAACATGTTGGGGGTAAACATCAATAATAAATTCATTTTCCGTGTGAACGGAAATGTACCATTAAGCTCTGTTTGAAATATATTCTCATTTCATCATTATCCTTCTATTCATTTCCAATCATGCATTCTTCAATAAAATAATATTTTTCATCACATCAATAATATTTTCTTCTTTTTCAACCACATATTCACAATCATGTCACAAAAAAAAATGTATTCTTTTCATTTTAATATACATCACACACACTCGAATGACCACAGTCTGATTTCGTTTTCACTACAACTCTTTTTGTCGAAACTAGTAAAAGTTCACATCATAGTTTTCTTAATGACATCACGAAGTAATTACAATGAAATCCTTATTCTTTTATTTTTTATTATTATTAATTTATTTTTTTTTGCACATATGCCTTCAGCTTTTGTCATCATATTTTAATCTTAATGCTATTTTAATTAGCACACTTTGCTCTTGATTACAGTATAAAAATTGTTAGGATGGAGTAAAATAATATATTTTTCCTTCGTAGTTTTAAGTATACAAGATAAACGATAAATACATAAATTCGACAAAATATTTTCTCCACGTTTAAGTAACATATTCAAAATGCCAGAAATATAGCCCCCATTTGACACCCATTTTTTTCTCATTCTCATTCCCACTCTTTTTCTCTTTCTTCATTTCAACCACACATTCTATCAATAAANAAGGGAGGTGCCCAAGTGATTTGGCACCTCCACTTTTGTCATGCTACTTGGGTAAAGTAGTACAATCCTACTTTTTAACCACACATTCTTCCATCAATCACTATTCAAAAACACATTTTTCAATTAAAATGGGTGTCAGGGGCTTTATGTTGCCTTGTGGATCACCCACATAAATATTTCAAATAAAAACTTTGCTCCAAAGTACAAAATATGCCCTCTTAAATTGGAAAAACTAAAGAACAACCAACAGGGAATTAAAAGGGGAAGAAAACCACTCGGAACAAAATGTTTATCAATAGAAGTTTCATGGTAAAACTAAAACCGAGAAGCATTGGCCTCTTCTATCAAAACCTAAACTAAGTTATGGCTGCATGAGGCTTGCTATTCGTATTCATAACCATTGTTTTCTCATCATATACCACGGAAACCATTGATCTTCGATCTGTTGTTATCTTTGGCATTTTGATCGCCTCCCCTGCCGAGAGTCCTTCCACCAAAACGGCCGCCTCGGCCTCTTCCCCTTCCTGATCAAGACAATAGCAGAGGAAGCAGATGTAAGTGTGTGTATATCCATTTATTCAAAGAGTAACACTATTTATTCATCACTTGTCCAGGTAGCAATAAGGCCCTTGTTCATTATCCAATGCATTAAAATGCATCATAACTCCATTAGACAATGAATCGCGGGCCCTACTACCACTTAGACCCCTGACTATCGCTACTAACGGTGAATGGCATTACTCTTATTCAAATAGCCAATGTGTACACCTCTCTCTCTCTCTCTCTCTCTCTCTCTAATGGTGAATAGCATTACTCTTATTCAAATAGCTAATGTGTACACCTCTCTCTCTCTCTCTCTCTCTCTCTCTGGGCGTGTGTTGATTTGTGAGTAATATCCGAAAAAATTAGCTTTGAACAAACAAGAGTCAAAAACATCAACAGATGTTGGAAGACCAAATAACTTAACCCCTGTTTGACTTCCATTAAAAAGAGGTTTTTTTGGGAGAAAATGAGTTTTGGAATAGTTATTTTTTTGGGGAATGTGGGGTTAAAAAGTAGAAAAAAGTTTTGGATTTATGTGCAAAATATTTTATTGTGAGAATGTTTGGTTGAAAAGGAGTTTGAGAAAAAAGCAAGTGTTTTATTATAATGTCAGACAAACAGGGCTTAATATGATTATCCAGAAGGATACTGAGAAAATATGAAGAAAAATGAACCTCAAATTTCAACCACAAGGGTCAGAAAAACGAAAATAATTAGATGGGTTTTAGAAAGAAACACTGTCATTATGGAATTAAAAGCAATATGAAAATAAGAACAGCTTGAACAGAAAATCATAAGATATCCAACAACTTAGCAGAATAGTAAACAGTCAAAAAAAGCAAAAGCAGTTAGAAAATACTCTCACCATGTGAAGTACTACTGGTGTTTGGTCTTCTCTCCTCAATGTACACTTGCTTTCCTGCCAACTGAATTGGAGAAGCCTAGACGAGAGAAACGAAAAAAAACAAAACAATATTAAACTGCCAGATACATGGTTTGTGCCAAGTCAAAAATGAGCACCAGGAAAAATTTGAGAATCATCTTTGGCGTCCCAATAGTAATTCGACAAATAACTATTCATTGTGTTCACTGCTCAATTTTGCATACAAGAGACTACAATCGAAAGTTCTAAACCTTATTTGAGACTCTGGAAAACTAGTGGCAGCAGTAGCACATTTGTCAAGCTCCATATCATCACTTGTAAGATAATGATAGATGTAGACTAAAACAGATGACTTATTCTAAAAGTTACACATTTAATTTTATTTAGATGAACAATAACAGCAAGCTAAGACTTCTTTCCAATAAACTTTGGGCCAACTACACGAGTCCTTTCTTAGCCACTCATTTGTCTGGTGCTACATCTGCAGATCGAATCTGCTTTTAAGCAGATTATATTAATTTTGGTCTCCCTCCCTCCCTCCCCCTCCTACATAACAGTAGCTCTGGGGAGTCATAGGTTATTAGGTCTATGCATCACAAGTTCAATAATTCATATCTTATGCATTAGATCCTCTTCAAGTCTTGTACCTAAAATTAGAACATAAATACCTACACACTCTTTGGAACACCAACCTGTGTTGTAACTCCATTACCATCTTTATTTCTATTGCGAGTAAAAAGAACATTCTACGTATTCTATCCAACATTGTACTCTCTTCCTAAACTCATCAACAAAACTATGTTAAAGAATGACATGCACCAACTCACCACATCTTAAATGCCCTCATAAATTCATCCAGGACTCGGGCAAAAATATAAGGACTAAAGATGGAAACTTGAAGCAAGCCTATAGTAATAAGATATCTCTTATGCTTATTAGCTCAAATTATGATGAACCATGACATATAATTTTAATAAAGATGAGTAACGTGAATGAAACAGAAAATTAAAAAGTGAAAACGATGCTAAGCATGAGGTAAGCTATCCCAAAATTTTGCACAGACAAAAAAATACTTATTGAAACAACTCCCGTCTTTTATCTCAGTCATTCAGACAAATATTTACTGGTTCTATATGAAAAAGGATCAAACCTTGATTGCATTCTGAACGCTCTGCACGTCTTCAAACTCAACAAAGGCATAGCAAACATCAGCATCCTGTTCATCAAAATCCTTGATAGCATTCTGTACGCTCTGCACGTCTTCAAACTCAACAAAGTCATATCATACAACAGCAGCCTGTTCATCATTTGTCAATTTAGATATTCCACAGATGTAATCAGACCACATGATAACGATGAAACAAAAGGAAATAGACCTTGCGATTTCTTAAGACAACCCCATCATGCTTGATTTTCCCAAAAGTCCTAAACTCTTGCAGAATATCCACGTTAGTAACTGTAGGTGGCAAGTTCCTCACATACACAGATTTTGATTCTCCTGAGAAAATAATTACAACAGTCAATTATGATATGTTTTTGAGTGGATTAGAAGAACTTGCATGATATTCTTATAACTAGGTTTTTCCAATGAATTACAGTTCTTGTAATAACTCATCCAACCACAAGCTTTTGCTCAAAGATCCAGGACAAAAAATTAAAAATAAATTTCTTACAATTTGATGATTCGGAAAAGGTTAATCTGCAGCACTTATTAGCTCCAATTCATACTACATTGATATTTAAGGATGAAAACAGACAAAGAAGAAGTGTCGACCGAATATCAGTTAAAACCTTAGAAATTTCTAGCTTATCAATCGCAAACAAGAATTTAACTCTAAATGCTGTATGTACTAAACAAATGTTAAATGGGATTAAAGTCAGAGAAACAAGTCAAACAACAATTGCATTTGATGCAGCAAGTTAAACTTTGGTACAATTAACTGAAGGACAGAGAACTTCGCAATACTTCCGATATAGAAAATATACTCAAAACTCAGAGCACTTATACTTCCAAAAAGAATAGTGAAATTATAAAATGTACCTTCCAGTTGAGAACTTTCATCCACTGCATCCACATCAGTATCTACTACAACAGATGTCACAGGGTACTGCTGAAGTGAGGGCTGTGATGCATGGTTCCAATCTGAAGCAGGTGGTGTGCTCTGAGTGAAAGATGGCCTAGAACTGACTGATGGTGCCACTTTTCCCTTGGCAAGCAACTTTTAATATTCCAAGAAAGCATGGGGAGAGAATAATAACCAGTCAGAAATGTAGTGAACAAATCATTGATGCATCATGCATATAAGCACGACAAGAAAGTTAAAAGAATCTGTCTCAAGAAAATGAGTTCATCCTAGTATAGTTACCTCTGGTTATAATGATAAATATGCTGGTAGGGAAAGTATCACAAGAAACGTCTACATTCAATGAACAGAGATAAAGATGAAGACAAAGGAGAGCTCAGGGATTACCAGTGGCGATGGTCTCCCTGACTTCTAAACTAACACATCCACACTTACTTTGATTCATTATGATAGGAGTTATTGGACTAAATTGGGGGGTGGGGGGGCGCAACCAATATAGTACAAATTTCAAGGACTCCAGGAACAACCTCTAAAAGAGCCCAATTTTCTTAGGAATTGTAAAATCTTTAGTTATATTGGAATTCATAGTGCCTCACTGATGTGGAACACCTGTGGTATCAGTATTTGATATATAATGACAGAAAATATATCCACAAATAAATGGGGAAGTATTGACAGAATACTTGGACATATCATTAATGATCCTCGCTCTGAAAATTTCTGCTGACCGATTCTGCATCCATAACCGACTCATATAGCTATTTTCAGATAACTCAATATCAATGAGACGGCAAGGAAATTATGATTTGCACACTTTAGCATTGGATTTAGAAGATTTCACATAATGCAAAAGAATCAGATGGATGTCATGCCATAAATTCATGAACTGGCAAAAATGGTTGTTGTACATACTATAGAAGCATAAGTCAGCTTAGGAGGCTCTTCAACAGGTTCCTCTATGGCAGGCACAGGTTCTTGTGCAGTTTCCGCCACACTTTGAAGTAAGGGATTTGTGTCTTCCAAAGGAGTGTCCTCTTCTACTATTTCAGCCTCAGGATCCTGCTCCTCCTGATACTCTTGAAAACTGTACTCTTCGACAGGCACATCTTCTTCAATGTGTACAGAATCCACATATACCCCAGCCTCCTCCTCTAAAGCATAGTCAGAACCTGATACAAAACAAAAAGTGTTGGCACAGTATTTAAGAAAACCATATGGATAAGAAATCTTATTTTTCCATGACATTTTTTTTTACGACGGCATGAACCAATAATATAAAATACAGACATAGAGGAATTACCAGTTCTCATAACCAAAGACTTGGAACCCCCGTTCACAAATTCTTGCACATCAACATTGACAAAAAGAATTTGCAAGATTGAATATCACATTGCTATTTAACTGCTCAAAGTTAACTTTGAAGGAAAAAGATAAAATAAAGTTTGTGTGCATCTGTTTGAATTAGAAATTCTCATGTCCAGTTATTTGAACAGGAACCAGAAGTTAGACCAGTCGGAATTGTTTCTTCATACATGTGGTTAACTTGAGACTTTCTTTGCTGTTATATTAGGAAAACAGAGTATTCATTCATCACAGATAAATCGAAGCAGTCAACCATACCTGGAAGCTCCGGATGATGAGTAGAAATAGCTGGTTGATAATCATGTTCCTGTTCCAGTACTGCTGAAGGTGGAAGTTGATCAGGAACTTCCTCATCAAGCAAGTGAAAAATATCATTCAATACAAAATAACCCTTCTCCTGAGGTGCAAGGAAGAAAGTCTGCACAAACTTCCTCCACCCACTGAAATCCCTTGACTTGACAGAACCAGAAACAACCACGAGAACACCTCTATTCCATGAATCAAGAGAATTTATTGTCTTGATCTCAATTCCAGTGAAATTTAATGATGTGATCATTTGATGAATTTCCTGCAGAACAAGGCAGATAATAAGTTTAGAAAAGTGTCAAATGTCCAGAAAACAAATTTTACATTGTGTTCCTCCCACAAAATTAAACCAAGAACCCACACAAGGGGAAAAAATTTAGATCCTTGCAACAAATGAACACACAGCATCCCTTTCTTGTATTCTAATAAGCAAGAAGATGTGTGCCCACATTCTACATGTATATGCTTTTCTTTCTGCGTAAATGATTCTTAACAGTCATTAAAACAATAAATGACTTCTATTTTCAATGGTCAGCTTCTAAAAATCATGCAATAAATGAATAGTCAGTGCCATAAATAGGAAAAATGAGGCAGCTAAGAGTGTCCAGTTCTGGTAAGAAGGAAACTTTCAAAAGTGACAGAGATATTTTCCATATTTGTACTTGAAAACCATTTTATAGAGACATCTCCCCTGTGAATAAAAACTTGTCAAGGTCTACACAAACACATCCCCACCACCTATTTCATCTGTTTTTAAAGTTAATGTTTAATAGGTTCCGCTGTCACTTGCTATTAAAAAAAACACTATTCTTTTAATAAGATGAAGAATTTCTTTATCAATTGAAAACGCACTAGAGAAAAATTAATTCTGAATTTGACTATATTATTTTATACAAAATATTTCCAATGTATTATCATGAGTTTAAGCACTATCTAAATCGATAAACCAATTTTAGTCAAGCCAAATCAATGAATTCAATATTATCTCATCTCACATCACAAAATCAAATCCGAAAAAACAGAAAACTAAATTATCAAGGATTCACTACAAAGGCGAAAAATATAATAGAAAGATAAAAGCTTACCACCATTTCAGAGGCAGATTGGCTGGTTACCCCATCCACTCTGACCATAGAGCTAGCTTCATTGTAAAACTGATACACAAAATCCTTTTGCTGTTGAAACACCTGATAATACTGCTGAACAAAATAGGGACCAACCTAATAATCCAAACACGCCAAAACACATTAAAAAAATAAAAATCAATCTTTGAAATAACAAATTAGAAAAAGACTAAACTCGCACAAATAAGAAATTTGATAACCTGAGTAGCAGAGACTTGAGCAGCATACTGAGTAGCCATTATCTCTACCTACAATTCACTCTCCCCAACACCGATCCGGAAAACCCTAGATAAAGACCTACGCGATTCAAAAAAAGAAAAATCATAAGAAGCTTTACCTAACTTCAATAAAGCATAAAAAGGGAATTTCTTTGTATGCATTAAATTATTGCGCAATGAAATCGAGTGCGTTTCTTTAAATAATCTTCGAAAGGGGGAAGCAGAGATTAATTACACTGCGAGAGTATGTATGTGTCAGAGAGAGAGATTCCGAGATGTTGTAGAAACTAGTAGGATTGTAAGAACAGTAGATCTATAGAAGAGGAGAGAGAGTGCGTGGAATTTAGAAGTGAGGTGAATTTTTTATTTGGAACAATTGCCTAATTGCCTGTGCGAAAGCCCCCATCACATGTTGGTAATGAGTTTTGTAATAATTAATTTTTAAAAATTCGTGATTAATACGTAAAGTAAAAATTTAAATTTACGTGTAAAATATTTCATTTGAGAATATTTGATTAAAATTAAATTTGGAAAAAAATGAATTTTTAAATAGTTGAACTCAAATAGAGGCTTGGTCTCCAGTCTATTGTTCGATTGGCACATTGATAATCACAAGCACACAGCATGTTATTAGGATTTATGACCGCTAAGAACTTAAGCATAAGACTCGAGACCTCATTGATTAGATTCTTGAAACCCATGGGGAAAAACTTTAATTTTTTTGTAAAGTGTCTCGTGACCTTAAAACATATCTCGATTACAGAATTTTGGGCTAATAATGAAACAAAAAATTAGTTTTACAAACGAACAATTTCGTACCTGCATCATTATAGAAAAAAAAAATTATAATTTACTATTTTACATTATTAAAACCGAAAATACTAGATAACATATGAAATATGTTTACATGTATTTCCTTTTTAAAATAGATCATCCACCACGACACCACGTTCTGTAATTGGCCCTTTTAAATTCAATCAATTTCAAGTTCTCCATTAATGTCATTTCCTAAATTATAAAAGCAATTCAAAAAATAGATGATGGCAAAAACAATCATTGTCGTTTGTTGGATAACCACCCTATGATTACATACTACTACATTTCATAATTTTGGCTCATTTGGAACTTTTTTTCAAGATTCCACATTTGAAAATTCAAGGTAATGATCAGCATCATACGTTATGTGTATTGTTCTTTGTGGTATATCTATAGAAAAACGAATTGGTGATTAGGTTTTGGAAATTTCTTGGTGGATGAGTCAAGGGAGAGACGATCCAATGGAGATTTTGGTTTGGTATATGAAAGGACACGATGTTAGGGTTCTTGTGATTAATTTGACATGTTAAGGGCATGTTTGTTGGAGCGTAATTTAAGAGTGCATTTATTGGAGTAAAATTAGCTAAGTAAATAATAGTCTATATGATTTGGTTAGTTTTTCATATTTCTATTTCACTATATGAAAAGGGTATTTATGACTAAAAAAAAGTTGCATAATATATTCCAAATATTTATTAAAAAAAATAGGTGTGTTGCATAATTTTCTCATAAAACAGAGACATTAATCCATTTGTTATGAGATTTTTTCTTGTCATGGGCTTGGGTAGCATTGGGCAAGTGCTGCCCCGCCCAATCAGCCTTTGAGTGCACGATTTCGTTGCCCGAATCTATATATTTAGTTCCTGTTTGGTGGAGATTAAGTCAATTTTTTAGTAAATTTTAATAAAAGTTGATAAAATATGTATTCAAAAAGTTATTGGTCCCATAAAATACATGGTTAAAATTAATTGTTGACTTTGATCTTAATCGATACCAAACAATGGTTTAATTTCCATATTCAGATAACGAATAGAACTGAAAAACAATATTACGCGTAAACTCAAAAAAAAAAAAAAATCTTATTTTTTAACTACATATTTTTCAAAAAATTACTATTCCTCTCATTATAATGTGGAATGATGGAGGTCAAACGAAAATATTCAATAATAAATTCATTTTCTAATATATGCGTGCAAATGGAAATACCTATAAATGGCCACCATTAAATTAATATTTAATGGGGCATAGTAATTACAATGAAATCCTTAATTTCTGTATATATTTTTTTCACTTATATCTTCAACTTTTGTCGTCATATTTTAATCTTTACAGTATTACAATTAACACATTTTATTCCCGATTGCTGTGAAAACGACAATTAGGATAGAGTAAAATAATTTATTTTTTCTTCGTAGATTTTAAGTATACAAGATAAATAACAAACTTCGACAAAATATTTTCTCCACGTTAACATATTCAAATTGCCGGAAATATAGTCTGCAAAATCTCTGTGGCTTCATGTTGCCTTGTGGATCACCCACATAAATATTTCAAATAAAAACTTTGACCCAAAGTACAAAATATGTCTTCTTAAATTTGAAAAGCTAAAGAACAACCAACAGGGAATTAAAAGAGGTAGAAAACCACACATAACAAAATGTTTTTCAATAGAAGTTTCATGGTAAGAGGGAAGACCGAAGATAGAAAAGCCTTTAACTTGTGCAAAACGTTAAACGTCCCATAGTTTATTTGTACTCTGTTGGAAGACACTTCAATTTTTATGCACCAACTTAAGTTGAGAGAAAGAATTTAGCCAAATAGATTTGAATATGTCATGGTTATGCAACGATTTAATAGAAATTTAAAGATTTTTGTATGTTAAGATTTAGCAAAACCAAATATATACTAAGGATATGCTTCCTCTTTTAAATTATGAAAATCAATTTCCTACTCGAGCAATAGGAGGGTCAAAGTAAAAATTTCTCCTCCTTTTGGCGTTACGTTACCATTCTGTGGCGATTTTAATGGCTACTAAATCAATCATCAACGGTAATCATTTTCCGGATGATGAATTGTCAGCAATTTCAACGGCTAGGATCGAACTACCATTGAGTGCAGTGGCTGTAACAACTTTGGCAAAAGTAAATTCTTTGGGACTCCACCTCAGTTTCACTTTCATGAATGGAGCAATTTTCTCTCTTTAATATTTCACAAAGAATGAAAACTATTCTTAAAAACAACTTTATAACTTTTCAAAAATATCGTCAAACGAGCCTAATGTCTCAAAAATTAGATTATAACAGATCGTTGTGTCGGGCCCTCCAAAGCCTACAGGCTGCCTCGAACGAGCATATCATGCGGCCGTCACCACCTAAAAGAACTAACATGGTAGATTAACGTTTTCACACAGCAGAAACTCAAAAATTTAAATACTCGAGAAGGAAACTAGAAAAAAGCTGTGTATGAATCAAGCTGGCTACAAAGTTAACAGACTACTAGTACACTCACCATCCTGCCCAAGTGCTCTACTACTTTAACCATCCGGCCAAGTGGAAGATATACCGGACGGACAAAAAGATTAAAATACACACTAGCAAAATTGATTAGTAATAGTATTCGCCTGCTCAATAGACACTGCTGTAATATGTAGCAGGTGGAACTGCAGAAGAAGGTTGTGCTGGAGTCAAAGCAGGTTGTGCATAACTTTGTTGGGGAAAGGCCTGCAGAAAATTCGACCAAGAATATGAAACAGCTTTAGCAGGACAAAGCACGAATAGATATTACAACCGAAGGCAGAATATACAACCAGAATTGGTTCCAATTCTTTTTAAAGATTGAATAGTCTACGAACTTGATCACGAGTGAATAAAAAGGTGGATTTCATTCAAGAACTCCCCAAAATAACGATATTTATATTGAATAACTAGGATATGAAAATAGAAAAACAAAAACTACTTGGCATAGAAATGATATATGTGGGCTTTGATGAGCAACAAAAAAAAGAAAAATAATCAAATGCGAATTTGAAACGTCCTGCCAAAAATATTGTAATTATAATTTTAACGATTTCAAAATAAGAGTATTACCCCGAAAAACTGAGGGTAGATACAATTCTTTAATGCAGAATACAGCATTAAATAACAAAAGAATGGTAGATGAGGTAGGGGTTTGCTAATTTGAACTTTTTTCTACCCGTAAAGCCAAAATAATTAACCTTTTTATCTGGAGTCGTCCAAAATAATTTACAACTGTCAAGCTAGAGATCTACAAGTATGTAATGATATCCAACAAAAGGAACTACCCATTTCAAACACACGATTCAGAGAATGGTTTTAAGTTACCTGGGCTGAATAAGCTGGAGGATAAGTTCCATAAGCAGAACTTTGGGGCACTGATGTAGGTACTTGTTGATTTGTTCCATAACTACCGTATGCGCCATATGCAGCCTAAAGAACCAAAAACAAAAGAACATAGTTTTGCATTGGCAAGTCAGACTAATGATGAGAATACATCCATTCGAAATGAAATCAGTTTCTGTCAGCCAATAGACAAAGTATTGCCCTTGCCTAAAATCATAATACAACTAGAGAAAGCAAGCCTAAAACATGCTTAAATTGTATCCCCACCATCATACAACACATACACAACCAGCCCAACCGAAGGAAAAGTAACTTAATGTGAGCGTATGTGAAAACAATTCAATTAGATAGCCAGAAGGAAACAATTCAATAGTTATGTGACTTAGTACATAAACACAACAAATAGAACAAAAAGGCAAAAGAACGTATAAATTGCAGAGGTAGTAAGTTATAATGTGCAAAAGGTAAATCATATCAAACTTATCCTATAGTTACACAACATACTTCCAAACTAGCATCTAAATCATGCTTTTGGGAGACATCTGGAGACATAACTACTCGGATGACGCTGACAGATGACTCCAACCGATTTTCATAATTATATCAACTCTGTTAAAAGCTTTCAAGATTCAAGGTTTACTAATATCCAACTCCTGATGGCATCAAAATACCAATAGTTGAAAGTACCTGTTGGGCATAACCAGGGTTCCAATGAGGTACTTGAGCTTGAGTAGCTTGAGGCCAGGCTTGAGGCTGTACACCATAACCTGCCGGCCACTGATTTTGCATGTTCGGAAATGCACCCACAATGGGGGGGGTGGATGGAGTAACTGATTTTGCAAGCTT